GACAGAGATAGATAGATAGATAGATAGATAGATAGATAGATAGATAGATAGATAGATAGATAGATAGATAGATAGATAGATAGATAGATAGATATAGATATATAGTTGTGATGTGGCACTGAATTAGTGTAATACACTGGGTAAGCTCTGTATGTGATTATTTGGACACTTGGAAATTATTCAGCACAAAGTGAATAACCACAATGGTGTTATCTTCCATTTTTGATCATTCTTTATTATTCATCAGATTTGTTAATCATCTTTGTAACAACTGCACATCATTTACACGCATTTATGCTTTTTCTTATTTACTTATTTGTCTTGTGTGATTTTTTTTTTCTCCTTTATTGTCAGGACATCATTTTAGAGTATCAAAAATATTGTTTCTGTAGATTTCATTGCACTAACATAGGATTTACTGGCAGTAAAAAGTGAGGACATTCTCTTGGTTTCCTCGTACAAGCACTGCAGGGCAGTGGAGGCCACAGGTCAGAGTATCCAGCCAGGCTATGTACAGAGCACTGGGGCAGTCGCCGTGCGGCACAGGAAGACTCCTAAAAGAATTCAATTATAACAAAAAATAAAAAATAAAAAGATTATTGAATTACAATCAACATGACAAAATGGCAAAATAAATTAAAAAATAACCTTGCTTGGGGATTTTTTTTTGGCTGCAACTACAGAAATAAACTTCTTCTATATTTTTATTTATTTATTCTTTTTCAAAACACACTGGGTATTTTGTGGTTTAGCATTAAAATAAATGAAGTACCATAAAAAAATAGACTGTTCTTGTTTTGTATTTGAAATCTTACATTCTAAAGAACAAAGTGGTTTGGCATAAAATTATCTTTTTTTTCTTTTCTTTCTTTTCTTTTCTTTTTTGTTTTAATTGTAACTGTACACTACAAGTCAAACGTTTTAGAACACCACAGTTTTTTTTATTATGCAGTTTAATTGTACTCTGAAATGAAAGCATAGAAACAAATCAGCAACTACAGTTAAAAACGAAACAACTTTTGACCAATATATATATGAATATATATATATATATACACAAAGAAGGTTCTGAATTTCACCGGTAATAAAAACAGTCGACTTACACAAGCACGAGGGTGGTATTTTGTGAATTCCTCCGGATGATTTCATTCAGTCTTACTTTTCTCTCAGACTGTAAATAAAAAAAATTTTAAAAATGTATTTGATGGACAATCATAAGCATGTCATCTCCTCCTTTAGTCAGAAATGAGGTACAGAGAGACAGACCTTAAGTCTAAAAGCTTCAAACTGTTTGTCAGATATTTTCCATGGTTCCTTCTTTTTTAGTTCCTGAACCGAGACATCTTCCTGCTGTTCGTCATATAGCCTGTAGGGCGCAACATTCTCCAAAAACCTATTCATACTGCAAGGCATCAAAAAGACACAAATGAGTTTGCTGCCAAGGAAAGAAACACCCTGCTAGAATTAAACATGCTCTAAATAACTTTACTTCCAGTGTTCTATTACAGTTAATTCAACATCATGTTTAAAAATATCTTTTCACTAATTAAAAATGGGACTCATAATTGAAACATTAAGGTGAAATTCCATGCCTTTCATTTGTTTATGGGGTTAAAAGCGTCACAGAGTTTTGTAAAAGTGTATATTTTGTCTTATTTGAAAAAGATGGTAAGATTTTCATACTTTTTGGGTTGAGGACTCCTCTCAGTGTCTGTCATGACGACAACATCAGTAACATTGATACGGAATCTCTTCAGCAGGGCCATCATTCTGAAAGAAACCAAAAACCACCTTAAAGCACTTTGGTTTCTGAAAATCAAACACCATGTCATATAACCTGAAACATTCCTAAACATTTTCACCCCAATCTGAACAGCATGCAGGGAAACGCTCTTTCAGTCCTGGTGCTATTTCAAATTTGATCGGCGACTGTGTGTTGTACATCTAAAATATACAGTTGTAAACTTTTCTAAAGGAAAAAATTATATAAATTTAATCAATACATTATTTAACAATAACGAATTAGATCACAAATAAAAACTTACTGGAAGAATGTTTACCTCCACGCCTTTCAATTTCAATTTATCTATGAATAAGGGTTTTCAAAAATACAAATATTGTCAATTCAAATACCAAAACAGAGGTTAAAATATAATAAACCTACGCATCACGGCTTTCCATCATGTTTTCTTCATCTCCCAAAACGAATACCCTAATCTTACAGCTTCGCCAGCGTTTTCTCCTGGTGAGCAGGTAAGGCACCAGTAGAATTAGTCCTAGAGAAGAGCAAGATAGCGGTGGTTTATTTTATATTCAACATGATAGGTGAAGATTCAGTTTTGACTAAAGCCAATACTGGCGCTAAAATTACATCTATCAACTATCCATCCACTAGTCTAAGTTGAAATGTTGAGACCTCCTTGTCTTTGGCTACTGACTGATCTAGGTGTTTCCAGATTAGCTTACAGACCAACTCATCCTTGGATTCACATTCACAATGTGTCCAAGAGACATCATGGTTATATGACCAAGTGGTCAGAATCCCAAACTGGGACACTTTTATATCAACTAAGTGTTTCAACTAAGTGTTACACACATATTAATAAATTGTCATGTAACCCGTGTGCCATGTTTCACCTCCATCATCAGCTATCCAATAGACATCGATAGTCTTTGTTCCCCCAGCATTCTTAAACACAGTCTTGACCTGATCGCTTTTGCTGTTTTCAGAAATGTCATTAGCTGCAAAAAGCAATAGATATGTGTTATCATAAAGATTACTCCATGTCCGTACTTAAGAAGCAGTAATTATAATGTATATTTGTATTAGAAGTGCTTACCAGAGTTTTTCTCAGGAGGCTGATGGTCATTGCTTTCAATGGCTTCATCAGGCTCAAAGCCTTGGTTTTCTAACGTTAAAAAATAAATTATATATATAAATTATACAGATATACGTTTGGGAATTGATGCCTAAAAGAATTCTAGGCCATGTATCCAACCTTTAAAATCAGCATGGTCATTGATGTCCAGCCCATCCATCATCCTCAAGATACACAAACAGTAGTTGGCATCAAATGTATCACTGAAGAACAGTAAAAGAGAGTGTGTGAGCAACAGAAATACTTTTAAGGACTCTTTACAGCAAAAAAAAAAAAAAAAAAAAGTGTAGCATTCATTTCAGTGTTAAGTAGAAGGTGTTATAATATTGTATGGTACTTTCGATATGCTAAAAATGCACACCACACTTTTAAAAGAATCGTTAAAAGGCTTTTTATGAATTTTAGACCAAATCATTAAGTTGACCCTTATTAAGACCACGGTGTATGTAAGCCAAATTTTCGTGGATGGTAACGTGACCCCACCCTACCTATCTATGAATAACAGTTTTCAAAAATACAGATATTGTCAATTCAAATACCAAAACAGAGGTTAAAATAGAATAAACCTACGCATCACGGCTTTCCTTCATGTTTTCTTCATCTCCCAAAATGAAAACCATAACAACACCATAACGTTTTTTTCAGAATTGATTCAAAGATGTAATCTTTGATGTTTACAATAGAATGATGCTCACACATACAGAATATGAAAAAAATGATAAGCTTACTATATAGTGTGGACATAATCATCAATGCTTGTAGGAGAACTTTCCATCCAGTTTGACTTGAAGCCAATGACCAGCGTGTTAGGCTTTAGCTTGCCGAGACCAGAAGCCTTGAATTAAAAAAATAATAATAATAGTAATAATAATAATAATAAGCTGTCAGAAACATCCAAAAGTTTTAGGGATTTCAGGCATTTTACATTTTAAGTTAAACTGAGTTAAACTCTTGGATATCTATATTGAAAATGTCAAAAAACTTTACAATATTTTCAAGATAGTGGAATTTTAAAATGACATCATAAATAAGATGCAGGAAAAACACATAAATCCACCCCTAAACAAGAATATAAATTATCGCATTTCTTTTTAAACAGACCATTTAAACACAACCCTTTGCTTCAATTGTATTATAGTACTGAAATGTTTGATAACATTTTATAGTTTAAAAAAGGAATGATATGCCATGATTACAAACCAAAAGCTGATTTGTAAGTAGAATGCCATTCTTGACACATCCACATAGGTATTTGTGTCTTCTGCAACTCAACGAGAAACCTTTAATTTTTCAGGCTCAATAGAGCCACTCACATGCTGATAAAAACGGTTTAACATTATCAAACATTATGAGACTCATACAGTATAACTTAAGAAGCCATTATTCAATTTCTAGTTTCTTTTGGGTAGTGAGCAACAATTGCTTCTCAAATAGAGGACCTACCTGCATCAGATATCGAACTCCATCTCTGAGGGTGTTAGCTGTAAACTGAGTGTAAAACGAGCGAACTTTCCTCTTGTTTAGCCATTTAACATACTGATCTGTGGAATCCTGAAACTGGGTCTGCTTGTCTGGCTCCTGGAAAAGGCAATTTCAACCTTCCATGAAAAGCTGAAGGAACTGAGCATGTGCAATTAAAAAAAATTCTAACAAAAAGCCGGTGTGAGGACTTTTAATAAGTGGATACAAAAATGTCAATCAGTTGTCATTTGTAACTTTTAAAGAAACATGAAACAAAGAAACTCACCATTATGTTTCCACAGATCATAAGGCTTACTTGCTTAGTGAAGCAGCCAACAAAATCCACCAGTGCAGGGCGCTGTTGTGGAGGTCCAGTCATGACAAGGCACTGTGGTCTAATAAAAGGACATCAGAGAACAAAGATAATGTTCAGGAGTTACTCTGTATTTGAATTATCCTAATGTTTAATTGAGATATGTGATCAGCACTTGTTGATGAATATTTCCTTCTTTCACCATTCTGCATATGTTAGCAGGATTTATTTTGACAGTTGTTTTTTTTTTTTAATAAAACAATGATCACACAAATACTCTTTGAAAACAGAACACATGAAATAAAAAACAGACAAATGCATTTTAACGTTTTAGAGCCCTCACCTAAAATTCTTGACATGGTCCTTCACATCAGTAAGAGACACAGAGAATGACAAAGCCATGTTGTATGAACTTGCCTGTATTGAAGACCCCCAATTTACATCTGTTGATGTAATAAAAAAACATTATGCAAACGGATGCAGTATAAATGAAAGGTAATACAGTCCATTTCACTTGTCCATCTGAGACATGTTTCTTGTTAAAGCAACATTGACTTCTAACCTATGCTTGATTTTGACTCACTTGGTTTCTTTAAGTATGTAATGTATATAAACAGGAGGGAGATGGCGAACCAGGTGCCTAGAGCAGCCCACCAGGTAAACGCAAACATCAGAGCAAAAGATGCCATTGCTCCATACAAAGCTGTCCATTTGTTATAGTATTTAAATGCTGGCCTCCATCCTTTAAGAGATGACAAGAGAAGGACAGTTAGATCTGAGCATAATACAAACGTTCTGATTTTAGATCTCTAGAACTGTGTCCAGTACAGCATGCAAAAAAACTGAAATATAAACCCCTCTTTTTGCCCTCCCTAAGCATAAGCACAAAAAATATTGAAGTGATGCTCAAAGGAATATATCTTCACATTATTTCTTATCAGCTTGTTAAGTATCACCTATCTTGGACATCACTTTTGACCTGGTGAAATAGTTAATTTCTGTTTAGTGAATAGGCATGAGCTTTTATCAAGTCTTAGTGCAGTGCGATAGTTGAGTACATAACTTACCAGGGGAGTTGACAATTGATGCATGAAAGCAGCTTAGGTTTATGAGACAATAGGAACACAGGAAGAAGTTGGAGATAATGGGTGCAATGATATTTAGTTGAGCTGTAATAATACAAAAGGGGAAAAAACGATCAGCACATATATGAAACAATATTTCAAATAACAGTAGGAGGACAGTTCTGAATTACACTCACCAACTAGAATGATGGCCACAGCAATGAGGTAGGTGAGTATATAGCCCCGAAGTGGTTCATTATTTTTGCCATAACCCTTTCCAAAGAATGAAATGTACGGGTATACATTGTCTTTGCACAGACACTGAGGGATGAAATAAAATACAAACATCATTTCTTTAACAATAATAACTTTACGACATTTACAGATGACTATATTACATGCTTCATTGTTTTGCTGCTTATTCTAGTTGGGATATAGGAATTTGCACGAAAAAAATTACGTTTTTTTTTTCTTTTTTGCAGAACCTTGCTGAAGCAATGCTGGAGAGACGGAAATCTGATTTATTTCTAATAATCATCGGTTCTCTGACATCTGTGTCAAAAAGGCATCCAGTCGTGTAAAGGTATGTGGAAAAAAGTATGTGGCTTCTTTGTTATGATATACAAAGATACAACATGTTTTTTCATTAAGGTCACCATCTGTTCCAGGAAGGTGATAACAAACAATGTGCTTCCCCATGTGACTGACAAGTCACGAGCCCATGAGGTAGCAGTGTCCCATAGTTTTTCTGTTAAATTAAATTAAAACAAAATAAAAGCTAAGATGAATGTGGTTAAGAACTGAGTTCCATCTCAAATGCTATGATCATCTTTATAAATACTATGGCAGAAATAGTAGAACTGTGAAAGCTAGTGTCAGATGTTTGTCTATCACTGTTCTACTCTGCAAAATTAATACTTTATGCTGCACAAGCTGAAATGAATAAATCTTGATAATTGGTTAAGACAATCCATATTTTATTGTCTAAAAAATAAAACATATGGTTCAGTCATTGTGATGTATCTTTTTTTCAGGTGGTTCTCACCTGAAAAATTTTAGGGGCAGAAACAAGAAATCCAAGAGCAGAAGACAAGGTGGCTGCAAAGACACCAGCAACAATGAGGTAATATGAACCAGATATCAGGCCCATTACCTGTAGAAAAGTTTCAAAATGAAATTGTTAAAAACTGGAAAAATGTATTCAAAACAACACATTTAACATAAATGCTTACAAAAATAAACAGTATAGTTTAAATAAGCAATAAATAAGCACTTTTTAAATAGAACCAGCATTACAAGAGACCGTTCCAGAAAAGAAACACTAAACGAACAAAAGACAAAATATAAGGAAATTAAAAAAGATTACAAAAAAAGACCATGAAAGAGTCAAGTGCAATTTTATAGTGAGAATAAGAATAACTTAAATTAAAAGTAGATACTAATAAGGCAAGCTAGATTTCATTATGCAGCTCATTCTAGAACCAAAGAAGCCAATTAGTACAGTTTCTAAGTTTCTAAGTATGTGAAAGCTGCACACTGTTTGATAAGGGCAAAGAAGGCGAACTATATATTCTGGCGCTAGGGAATGACAATTTAAAAAGTAACAAGTAATCAATTTTAGTAAATCAATTTTAAATCTTGAAAGTAGTGGACAGTCAGTACAAATTCCTTAAAAACAATGTAACATGTTCATTTTAATTGGTTCTTCTAATGAACCTCGATACATCATTTTATTTAATTTATAGTCAATTCAATGCTTTTGGGTTAACCTGTTAAAAGATCATTACAATAATATAACTTAGAAGACATGAAAGCATGGTAATCTCAATATGCTTCAAACTCAGATCTTTAGATCCAAAGGTGAGATGAGAATCGAAAATCATCAATGGGATTATTTTACGTATAAATATAAAAAATAACTTAAGACCTGATCCAACCTTTCACAACCAATAACAATGTTTATTTTACCTAAATAAATAAAAAACTGGTTAAAATTTCAATGAACATAAATGCTATTTATCTCTTAGCCGACCAGTACCTGCGAGTAGTTTGCCAAACCCTGTGAACAAGCCTGTGACTGAACGCAGGTTGTGAAGTTCCAGCCCAGTTTACATGCTGGTCCCAAACAGCCACTTGTGCTGTTTTCAGTCATGAGGTCAGTCATATTTCCAGAGGCATCCCTCACTGTACTTGCGCCTGAAGTCAATTTTAGTTTCAGAACAGAGTTAAAAACAGTTTCATAGTGTCTGACCTTTTTCTCACGGGTGGTTTCAACAAGAAAAACAAATGCCTGTATACCACAGAATCTGAATGAAGCTTTAAAGTTTAGATTCCAGCCATGTCTAATGCAAAGAAAAAAAGGAAACTGAGTAATTACCAGAAGTGATAACAATCACAACGTAGCTGAGAGTGGTGCAAAATATGGCCATTAGGGTGCCTTTGGGGATAGCAGTAGAAGGGTCCTACAAAAGAAAATATTTTTAGAGTCATCACTCATATATAAACCTTAGTGGGTTCAGTGGAAGAACTATCTTGCTTTCTTGATGCTTGTCATACTTTGAGGTCTCCAGAGATGTTGGCTCCAGACAGGATGCCAGTGCATGCAGGAAAGAAAATTGCAAACTGACGGAAAAAGTTGCCATCAGGACCTCTCCAGCTTGGTGTGAGGTTTTCTATGAATATATCCCCTGTAGAAGATACGAGATATTAGCTTAAATAGTATTAAACTTTAAATTATTAAAAACATGTCCCTATTGTAAACACATATGATGTTTGGGACAAAGAAATATTTTTCTTTGAGTAACCCCACATGAGCAACAAATGTTCCTCAGTGTAAAATCAAAAATTGATCTAAAGTGCAGTTGCACATTCCACACTTTGATTCAAAGTAACAGAACACCATAGTGTTTGACAAAATGTAATATTACGTATGTTAAAACAGTCATGTTTGGTACTTCTTTGCAGATCCCTTGCAAACAAGGAGTATTCGAAGTCTACAATTTATGTAAAATAGCAGTTGCTGAGAATCTTCTCTGGTGAAAACTGCAGCCACCTTCAACTTGTACTTGTTTCAGTTGTTTGCCCTTTTAGATTTCTTCTCCAGCATATGAAAGGCACACTCAGTTGCGTCAGGATTTTGTAAAGTAGCTGAAAGTTTGCTCTTTCAGCTATTACTTCCAATAATTAATTCAATCCTATAACGTGTTCAATATTGTCAGTGACAGTCCAGAATAACTGACATCAGAGAATGAAGATTAGTGCATTAGAACTGGTAGGGAGAACTTATTAGAAGTACTGATAACTAAAGTAATTTAATCAAAAGGATTTTTTCAAAGATACATTTTGGAAAATAGATTGTTGTGAGAAGAATAAACCTACTGTCATATCCAAAGAAGCCCTGCGACTTCTTCTGTAGGGTGGGAGGTATCAGTGTTCCCACAAGGTAATCAGCGAAGGAAGCCATGAGAACTATGAAGAAAAAAATCTGAGCCTACGAGAGTGAAAGTGAAAAAAGAATATAGGGGGATAATTGAAACAGGTGTAATGAAGAGTAAACATTAATAAGAAACAACAATATTTGTAACCCATGTCCAGCAAACAAGGTGAAATGTGTTTGGGTCTGCTTACCTTGGCCTCCCAGTCCATTCCACCGAACGTAATGAACAAAAGAATTGTCACCGTGACCACACCAATAATACGGACATCATTGAGCGAATCCACCATTATGGTACCACGGCTCTAAAAAAATCAACAAGTTATTAACAGGAATCTGAAAGTATAAAGATTTAGAATGCATTATTTTACAAGATGTGGTTACCTATTTATTATTATTATTATTATTATTATTAGTTATATTATTATTTGTTTACCCTCATCAGATCGCGTACAACCTCTGAAAAGCCAACAGTATGGAGTGCGACAGCCAAAGCATTGGCAAGGGAAAAGATCAACCCAATTGATGCTCCTAGTTCAGGACCGAGTGTGCGAGAGATCATGAAATATGTCCCACCTAAATATTTAAAAATAAGCAGAAACAAGGCTGTTAAAGTGGAAAAAAAAAATCACGCTCTCTAATATGTCATTGGACAGCCTTTAGCTTTGATACACCTTTCATTCTAACATAACTTTGATAAGCTTATGGAATATCATTTTTATGTCCACAAATTTTTTTTATTTGTTACCATCTTCTTATGATTATGGGAGAATCAAACAGCTACATAAAGTATTCAGTATTTTCCAAATATTCTCAATGGGGTTACATTTATCAATCACCTGACTTCATTTTTTGAGCATCAGTATGAAAATTTAATCTAAGAAAACTCTGGCTAATGATACAGGCATGTACCGTGACTCTGTTATGTCTTTTTACTCTTTTATTTTTTTTACTTTACCTCTCTTTAAGTGATGTGCCCATCACTCTTGAAAACACTAAATCTAAATTTACATCACATCAAATTATGCTTTCTAGCAAACACATATTTATTCTTCAGGTTTTTTAAAATATA